TAGGGAGGCCGAAGCGGGAGGATCACTTGAGCCCAAGAGTTCAAAACCAGCCTTGACTCCTACTGGGGTCCCTCACTCTTACCCACAGTTCTACCCTGGTGGGGTGGCTGGTGGGGGAATTGTGTCTGGACCGCCAGTGGGTCCCAAGGGTTAGGGGCTGCCTCATCTGTGGGGGCCCCAGGTGGGAATAAGCAGAACCTCGAATGCGCTACCCCCCTTTCAGTATCAAGCTCTGGGATTGGTGGTATTCCCCCAACAAAGATGTCTAACACTCCAATGGGTGATAGGAACCTATCCTCTGCTTCACCACCAGCCACCTTCTCCCATGTGGCACCAAACCTGCCTCCCCCCATCTGCCCAAGCACCCTCAACAATGCATCAGCGGCTGGGCATGGTGACTCATGCCTGTAATCCCAACACTTTGGGAGGATGACACAGAAGGATCACTTGAAGTCAGGAGTTCAAGACCAACCTGGCCAACATGGTGAATGGGACCCCATTGGGTTACTGAGGCACCTCGCCACCGGCAGACCTTCAAGCCAGCCTTGCCCACTGTGGGACCTGCCACCTGCAAGCCCTCAGATGTCATCTCTGTCACCACCACCTGTAGCCCCTGCCTCAGGGTTACCCCTAAGCATCAGACAGATCAACAGGAGCTTGCTGAGGAGTATGAGACCCCTAAGAGCACAGTGCCCCCAGCCTGCAGCCCCCCCCTTCCTAAGAAGGTAGCCCTGCCCAGCCATGCCAGTCAGTCAGCCAAGTGAGTATGAGAGGGTGGGCCTGGAAGGGGAGTTATGAAGGGGTGACAGAGAGTGGCACAGGGGGGCCTTGTGTTTATGTGGTGGTTTTTATTATTTGTTTGGGATGGAGTTTTTTTTTTTTTGAGATGGAGTTTCACTTTTGTTGTCCAGACTGGAGTGCAATGGCACCATCTTGGCTCACCGTAACCTCCACCTCCCTAGTTCAAGCGACTCTCCTGCCTCAGACTCCTAAGTAACTGGGATTACAGGCACGTGACACCACACCCGGTTAATTTTGTATTTTTAGTGAAGACGGGATTTCTCCATGTTTATCAGGCTGGTCTTGAACTCCTGACCCAGGTGATCTGCCCGACTCAGCCTCCCAAAGTGTTGGGATTACAGGTGTGAGTCATCACATCTGGCCTATGTGGTGTTTTTATTTTTTATTTATTTTTTGAGACAGAGTCTCACTCTGTCACCCAGGCTGGAGTGCAGTGAGACTCTTGGCTCACTGCAACCTCCGCCTCCCAGGTTCAAGTGATGCCTCAGCCCCCTGAGTAGCTGGAATTATAGGTGCATGCCACCACGCCCAGCTAATTTTTGTATTTTTGTAGAGACAGGGTTTCAGCATATTGGCCAGGCTGGTCTTGAACTCCTGACCTCGTGATCCGCCTGTCTTGGCCTCCCAAAGTGCTGGGATTAAGGCATGAGCCACTGCGCCTGCTCCTATGCGGTGTTATTTTATTTTTTATTGAGACAGGGTCTTGCTCTGTCACCTAGGCTGGAGAGCAGTGCTGTGACCATGGCTCACTGAAGCCTTGAACTCCTTCGTTCAAGTGATCCTCTCACCTCAGCCTACGTGCCTGGAGCTGGGACGACAGGCACATGCAGGAGCAACAGGCTACTTTTTTTTTATTTCTATTTTTTGTAGAGATGAGGTTTTGCATTTTGTTGCCCGGGCTGGTCCTGAACTCCTGGCCTCCAGTCATCCTCCTGCCTTGGCCTCCCAAAGTGCTGAGATTACAGGCATGTGCCACCACGCCCGCCCTATGTTGCTTTTTAACAATTAATGCAGTGAAAGGGATTTATAAACAGATGCCTGGTTGTTTTAATTTCCTCTGGAAAAAACTTCCTTAAAAACTCTTAAGGCCAGGGCCCCTCTCCCTGCCTTATCTTGCACCCCAGAGCCTTCCTGCTCCAGGCCTGAGTGGTTGATGCCTCGACTTTCCTACAACTCAAGGACTTAGCAGCCTGCACAGGATCTGCTCTTTCTCTGCTGGTGACAGACAGGCTCTTAGCAGCTTCCAGATTGCTGCCAATCTGGAAGACCCCTCCTGTTCTACTCTGTTACCCCTTCGTATCCCCCCTTCCAGGCCCACCCACTCATACTGGCTCACTTGGCCTAATGACTGGCATGGTTGGGCACCACTACCACCTTAAAAAGGGGATGAAGGCTGCAAGCTGGGAGCACTGGGCTCTAGGAGGTCTCATAGTCCTCAACCAGCTCCTGTTTGATCTGTCTGGATTTATTTATTTACTTATTTAATTTTTTTTTTTGAGATAGAATTTCGCTCTGTTACCAGGCTGAAGTGCAGTGGCCTGATCTTGGCTCACTGCAACCCCACCTCCCAAGTTCAAGTGATTCTCCTGCCTCAGCCTCCCAAGTAGCTGGGACTACAGGTACCTGCCACCATGCCCAGATAATTATATTTTAGTAGAGATGGGGTTTCATTATATTGGTCAGGCTGGTCTTGAACTCCTAGCCTTGTGATCCGCCTGCCTCAGCCTCTCAAAGTGCGGGGATTATAGGCGTGAGCCACTGTGCCCGGCCTTTTGTTTTTATTTTTTGAGGTGGAGTCTCACTCTGTCACTCAGGTTGGAGTGCAGTGGCGCGATATTGGCTCACTGCAACCTCCGCCCCCCGGGTTCAAGCAATTCTCCCACCTCAGCCTCCTGAATAGCTGAAATTGCAGGCAGGTGCCACCATACCTGACTAATTTTTTTTTTTTTTAAGACGGGGTTTCACCATGTTGGTCAGGCTGGTCTTGAACTCCCGACCTCAGGTGATCCGCCCACTTTGGCCTCCAAAGTGCTTGGATTACAGGCATGAGCCACTGCGCCCAGCCATACCTGACTAATTTTTGTATTTTTAGTAGAGACAGGGTTTCACTATGTTGGCCAGGCTGGTCTTGAACCCTGACCTCAAGTGATCACCCACCTTGGCCTCCCAATGTGCTGGGATTACAGATGTAGTCACCACGCCTGGACTTTTTATTATGTTTTTTTGAGACAGGCTCACACTCTGTCACCTAGGATGGAGTGCAGTGGCATGATCTCAGCTCACTGCAACTTCCGCTTCCCAGATTCAAGTGATCTCCTACCTCAGCCTCCCAAGTAGCTGAGATTACAGGCGCACATCACCAGGTCCAACTAATTTTTGTTAGTAGAGACCAGGTTTTATCATGTTGGCCAGGCTGGTCTTGAACTCCTGTTCTCTGGTAATCTGCCTGCCCTGACCTCTCAAAGTGCTGGGATTACAGGTGTGAGCCATGGTGCCTGGTCTTGTGGGGCTTTTAGAAGCTGCAGCTGTGCCCTCTTCACTAGCTGGGGCTGGGTGGGCTCAGGCTGCTTTGGCCAGCCCCTGGCAGGGTCTGAGCATGTGCTGCCTCCGCCCAGGTGGGTCAAGAAACACCTGAGCCTGGCTTTGACTGCGCAGGTGCAGCAACTTATAGTTGATGCCACTGAAAGGCATCCAGCGGGCCAAGAAGCGAGAGGACCCCATGGAGGAGGCACACCACCAGGAGGACAGGATGCCAGGGAAGTGAGCGGGAGGATGAAAGGGACTGAAGGGAGTGGGGGCTACAGCCTGCTAGGTGAGTGCCTCAAGAGATGTACCTAATTTAAAAGCCAAGCAGGCTGGAGCCGTGGCTCACGCCTGTAATCCCAGCACTTTCAGAGGCTGAGGCTGATGGATTGGGAGGTCAGGAGTTTGAGACCAGCCTGGTCAACAAAGTGAAACCCTGTCTATGCTAAAAATTAGCTGGGTGTGGTGGCACGTACCTCTAGTTCCAGCTACTCCGGAGGCTGAGGCCAGAGAATCATTTGAACCCAAGAGGTGGAGGTTGTAGTGAGCCGAGACTGCGCCATTGCACTCCAGCCTTGGCAACAGAGCGAGACTTCATCTCAAAAAAAAAAAAAAAAGCCAAGCTGTTTTCCAGAATGTTTGTGTCATGTTACATTCCCAACAACATGAGCGAGCCAAACAATATGAGTGCTCTAGTTCCTCCATACCCTTATCAACCTTTAGTATGGTCAATCATCTTATTTATTTTCATTTTATTTTGAGACAGGGTCTCAGTTTGTCGACCAGGCTGGAGTGCAGTGGCATGATCACAACTCACTGCAGCCTCAACCTTCCAAGCTCAAGTGATCCTCTCTCTTCAGCCACCTGAGTAGCTGGGACTACAGGCTCACACCACCATGCCTGGCATATTTATATACATATATGTTTTTGTTTTTTTTTTTGGTAGAGAATGGGTCTCTATGTTGCCCAGGCTGGTCTCCAACTCCTGGGCTCAAGTGAGCCTCCCCCCTTGGCCTCCAAAGGTGTGGGGATTACAGGCATGAGCCACTGTGCCTGGCCGTTTGGGTGAAAGTTTGAGTCACTAAAAAACTTTCTTGACACAGGGTCTGGCTCTCTTGCCCCAGCTGGATTGCAGTGGTATGATCCCGGCTCACTGCTGCCCCCGCCTCCTGGGTTCAAGCAATAAGCGTTATTATGAGTTATCCAACAAAGAGACAGGAGTCCAGCTCAAATCTGTCTCCTGTGCTATTCTGAAGTCAGTACTTTTTACATTTTTAATTTTTATTTTTTTGAGATGGAGTCTCGCTCTGTTGCCCAGGCTGGAGTGCAGTGGCCTGATCTCAGCTCAGGCCACTGCAACCTCTGCCTCCTGGATTCAAGCGATTCTCCAGCCTCAGCCTCCCGAGACTCGGCCTCCAAGGACTACAGGCCTCAGCCACCGCGCCCGGCCGAAACTGAACGTCTTACAGGATTTAACTCACTTCCTAGTAAACTGGAACACGCGCGTTCCCTGGGTTGCTCTGCCGTCCCAGGTTTCAGCAATGGGAAATCGCCTGAACCCCCGCTCAAAGGCGGGGCTCGGAGTATGAGGCCACTGGCCTCCAACGTTGCTGCTGACTTTCACGTCTATGCTCCAGTGGCCGTAGCTCACTTCCGCAGAGGCGGGACTTCCGGCCTTTCTACAGCACTTCCGGCCAGAGCTTAAAGCTTCGCTGCTGGACCGTGTGCGGGGGGTGCCGCGGCTCAGAACACCTGTACTCTCGGCGCTCAGGTGAGTTTCAAAGGTTCCGGGAGCTTCTGGAACGAGCGTTCCTGGCCGGTGAGTCTCCCTGCAGTGCTCTCGGCCTTTTCTTTCTTCCCTTCCCGGAATCTTCCCAGACTGCCAGAGCCGGGCGTTGCCTGCTCCCTGCGACTTTGACCCAACCCAGATGTGCCGGCCCGAAGGGAGTGCTAAGGCGAGTGCGTGTGTGCCGGGAGGCGGGCTAGCTGGCTGGGTTGGGACCGCACTGCGCCTCCTGGAAGGCCTTATTTGGGAGTAGCCTGACGTGGTCCCTTGCATTGTAAGCTTCTCTCGGAGAATTGGCGTGTCACTTTGGAAGAGGTGAATATGGTACAGGCGACCAACAACTTTTACAAGGTGTCCTCTTAGAGGAACAGCCCCGTCGTTCCGAATCACTTAACGTTGGTTATGACGGAGAAATAATGTTAAGGAGGTGGAGAGCACTTAAAACAACTACTTTTTTGTTTGTTCTTTTGAGACGGAGTCTTGCTTTGTTGCTCAGGCTGGAGTGCAGTGGCATGATCTCGGCTCACTGCAACCTTTGCCTCCCGGGTTCAAGTGATTCTCCTGCCTCGGATTCCCGAGTAACTAGAACTACAGGCACGAGTCACCACACCCGGCTAATTCTTGTATTTTTAATAAAGACGGGGTTTCTCCATGTTGGCCAGGCTGCTCTCGAACTGCTGACCTCAGGTGATCTGCCGGCCTCGGCCTCCCAAAGTGCAGTAGTTACAGGTGTGAGTCACCGCGCCTGGCCTAAAGTAACTATTTTTACTTGGTGTTTACTACCAAATGGGGACTGTTCTAAGTTGTGGGTGGATCCAAATGCTTGTATGATAGCTTTATCCTCAGAGAAGCAGTCTTGGCGGGAAGATGGGGTTAACAAATTGCCAAACTGTTAGAGAAAGTTAGTGGAGGTGGCGATGGAGAGAGAGGACATCTCTTTTGTCTGACATTAATAAAGCCACGGCCACTGACTTTTGATATTTGCTTTATAACGTTTTTCATCTTTTTAAGTTTTAATTTGTCTGTATGCTCATAATTTATGTGCTGTTGTAAGCAGCATATCACTGGGATATATATATATATATATATATATATATATATATATATATTTTAAATCTAAGTGGATAGCCTTTTTGGTGGGGGGGGAACAGAGTCTTGCTATGTTGTCCAGGCTGGTGTGCAGTGGCCCAATCTCAGCTCATTGCAACCTCTCTGTCTGCCGGGTGCAAGCAATTCTCCCACCTCAGCCTCTTGAGTAGCTGGGATGACAGGCATGCCTCACCACACTGTTAATTTTTTTTTTTTTTTTTTTAATTTTGCTGTGTTGGCCAGGCTGGTTTCGAACTCCTAACCTCAGGTGATCCACCTGCATTAGCCTCCCAAAGTGCTGGGATTACAGGTGTGAGCCAGCATGCCCGGCCTAGCCTGCCTTTTGACTGGCAGGTTTATTGGATTTACATTCTTTGTTACTATTGTAATATTTGTTCAGATCAAAATCTTTGGTGTCATCACTGATTAATCTTTCATATGTATCAGCAAATCCTATGGACTCTTCACCTTCAAAATCTGTCCACACTCCCAAGCTCTTCTCATCACCTTCCCTTGTTCAAGTTACATTGTCTCTCATTTGAATTACTGCAGTAGTTTCTGCTCTTTCCTCTTTCAGTCTGTTTCTATCACAGCTTCTTGGTTGATCCTTCTGAAAACCATGGCAAAACCTGGTCTCTACGAAAAGTACAAAAAGTAGCCAGGCGTGGTGGTGGGTGCCTATAATCCCAGCTACTCAGGAGGCTGAGACGGGAGAATAGCTCCAACCTGAGAGGCGGAGTTTGCAGTAAGCCAAGATCGCACACTGCACTCCACCCTGGGCGACAAGAGTGAGACTCTATCTCAAAAAAAGAAAAAAATCAGATTTATGTCTTTCTTCTCAAAAATTCTCCAAGGACTACACATTTTACCCAGAGTAAAAGCCAAAGTCTTTAGAGTGGATTATTCTTTTTTTTTTTTTTGAGATGGAGTTTCACTGTTGTTACCCAGACTGGAGTGCAATGGCACGATCTCGGCTCACCGCAACCTCTGCCTTCCGGGTTCAAGCAATTCTCCTGCCTCAGCCTCCCGAGCAGCTGGGACTATAGGCACGTACCACCATGCCCACCTAATTTTTGTATTTTTAGTAGAGACAGGGTTTCACCTTATTGACAAGGATGGTCTCAATCTCTTGACCTCGTGATCCACCTGCCTTGGCCTCCCAAAGTGCTGGGATTATAGGCGTGAGCCACCGTCATGTGAAGTTTTATATAGTGTGGCTCTGCTTCGTTTCTGATCTCATCTTGTTCTAATCTCCTGTTTGCTCCACTCTGTGGCCTCCTCAAGAACATCCTAGTCTCGGGATATTTTTACTTGGTATTCCTTTCCCTCATATGTCCACATGGTTCAGTTCTTTACCTCTTTATATTTCGGGGACTATATCCTTCTCAGGGAGGCCTTCTCTGACAAGCCACTGTCATCTTTAACATATCCATTGCACTCATTATCCTTGTGCTTATCATATGACATACCATGTGATAGAGTCATTTATCTGGGTTATTATGTTTTCTCTCACTGGCATAGAGGGTTTATTAGGGAAGGTGTTTTTCTGTTTTGTTTACTGCTTTATTTTATTTATTTTTATTTTTATTTTTATTTTTTTGAGGCAGAGTCTCACTGTTGCCCAGGCTGGAGTGCAGTGGTGTGACCTCTGCTCATTGCAACCTCTGCCTCCTGGGTTCAAGCAATTCTCTGCCTCAGCCTCCCGAGTAGCTGGGATTACAGGCACCCGTCACCATGCCCAGATAATTCTTGTATTTTTAGTAAAGATGGGGTTTCTCCATGTTGGCCAGGCTGATCTTGAACTCATGACCTGGTGATCCACCTGCTTTGGCCTCCCAAAGTGCTGGGATTACAGACATGAGCCACTGTGCCTAGCCTTTTTTAAGATCTCTTATTGTACTTCCTTGTAAAATCCATTACTGTTATATTCCAATTGCCTAAAATAGTATCTGGCTTTATCAGACACTCCATAATATAATTGTTGACTGAATGAATTTGGGGTTTTTGCACCATCTTCTACACTTTGTATTTTCTATGCTTTATTGTTCCTTTCTTGTCTTCCTCCCCCGCTCCCCCCCTCCCCCAGACAGGGTCTCCCTCTGTTATCCAGGCTGGAGTACAGTGGCACGATCTCGGCTCACTACAACCTCTGCTTCCCGGGTTCAAGTGATTCTCCCACCTCAGCCTCCTGAGTAGCTGGGATTATGGATGCGTGCCACCACAGCCTGGCTAATTTTTGTATTTTTAGTAGAGATGGGGTTTCACCATATTGGTCAGACTGGTCTCAAATTCCTGACCTCAGGTGATCCACCCACCTCAGCCTCTCGAAGTGCTGAGATTATAGGCATAAGCCACTGTGCCTGCCCCGCCCCCCGTTTTTTTTTTTTTTTTTTTTTTAGATGGAGTTTTGCTCTTGTCACCCAGGCTAGAGTGTGGCGGAACCATCTCAGCTCACTACAACATCTACCCCCTTGGTTCAAGTGATTCTCTTGCTATAGCCTCCCGAGTAGCTGGGATTACAGGTGCCCACCACCATGCCCAGCTAATTTTTGCATATTTAGTAGAGACGGTGTTTCACCACGTTGGCCAGGCTGGTCTCCAACTCCTGACTTCAGGTGATCCGCCTGCCTCAGCCTCCTAAAGTGCTGAGATTATAGGCATGAGCCACTATGCCTGGCCTTTTTTCATATTTTTTGCACAACGGGATCTCGTTCAGTTGCTCAGGGCTCACTGCAGCCTCTATTTCCTGGGCTCAAGTGATTTTTTTTTTTTAACCTAAACCTCCCAAGTAAATGGGCCTATAGGTGCGTACCACCAGACCCAGCTAATTTTTTTTTTTTTGAGACAGTTTCGCTGTTGTTACCCAGGCTGGAGTGCAATGGTACGATATCAGTTCACTGCAACCTCCACCTCCTGGGTTCAAGCAATTCTCCTGCCTCAGCCTCCCGAGTAGCTGGGACTACAGGCACGCGCCACCATGCCCAGCTAATTTTTTTTGTATTTTTAGTAGAGACGGGATTTCACCATGTTGATCAGGATGGTCTCGATCTCTTGACCTCGTGATCCACCCGCCTCGGCCTCCCAAAGTGCTGGGATTATAGGCGTGAGCCACCGCACGCGGCCTAATTTTTGTATTTTAATTTTGCTGAGCATACTGAATTGAATCTGATCATAATTTTTAGTTTTATTTTCTATTTATTTTTTGAGACACTGTTTCTCTCTTGTTGCCCAGGCTGGAGTGTGATGGCATGATCACGGCTCACTGCAACCTCCATCTCCCAGGTTGGAGTGATTCTCCTACCTCAGCCTCTCAAGCAGCTGGGATTACAGACAGGCATGTGACACCATGCCCAGCTAATTTTCTATTTTTAGTAGAGATGGGGTTTTACCATGTTAGCCAGGCTGGTCTTGAACTCTTGACCTTGAGTGATCTGCCTGCCTCGGCCTTCCAGGTTTCTGAGATTACAGGTGTTAATCCCTGCACCCAGCCTGTTTTAAATTTTTTTGTTTGAGATAGGTCCGGCTCTTTTTGCCCTGCTTGAAGTGTAGTGCCTCGATCTCAGCTCACTGCAACCTCCGTCTCGCTGGTTTGAACCATTCTCCCACCTCAGCCTCCTGAATAGCTGGGACTACAGGCATGTGCCACCATGCCTGGCTAATTTTTGTATTTTTTTGTAGAGATAGGGTTTCACCATGTTGTCCAGGCTGCTGTCCAACTCCTGGGCTCAAGCAATCTGCCAGCCTTGGCCTCCCAGAGTGCTGGGATTACAGGTATGAGCCACCATGCTCGGCCTAATTATAATTTTTTTTTTTTGACACAAAGTCTTGCTCTGTTGCCCAGGCTGGAGTGCAATGGTATGATCTCTGCTCAACAGGAGTTGGGGACCATCCTGGGCAACATGGCAAAACCCCTTCTCTACTGCAAATAGAAAAATTAGCTGGGTGTGGTGGCACTCATCTGGGGTCCCAGATTCTCAGTGGCTGAGGCACAAGAATCTCTTGAGCCTGAGAGGTGGGGGTTGCAGTGAGCCAAGATTGTACCACTGCACTCCAGTCTGGGCGACAGAGCAAGAGTCTGTCTCAAAAAAAAAAAAAAAATCCTGTAAAGGAATTTTACTAAGTTCTTATCAGTGTTGTATTTTTCTTCCTAGATCTTATTATTTTGGATTCTGGGTATATTATAATGAGTGACACGTTGACATTGGATGTAATTGGTCGAAGAGTTACAGTTAACGGAGAACATGCAACAGTACGTTTTGCTGGTGTTGTCCCTCCTGTGGCAGGTAAGTAATTGTGTGTGTGTGTGTGTGTGTGTGTGTGTGTGTGTGTTTTGCAGCTGTTTCGGTGTAGGCTTCTCAATAGTACTTTATACCACAAATTTGAGGAAATTAACCAATTTAAAGATGCCTCCTATATCCAGTTTTATTTGACTGACAGTATCCTGTGGTATCTATGATTTTGTTTAATTATAGGTCATTTAATTATTTAGTGTTGCTATCTTTATAAAATGAACCTTAAAATATCTTCTGAGGAAACTTTAAACAGCTGAAAGTCTTGAAACCTCACAACCTTCAACTCAAGTAATTTTTTTGAAATTTCTTTTGTCATTAATCCATGTGTGTAGGTGTCTAATACAGTTTAAATTGACATACATTACAATTTTTTTACTTTTTAAAATTTATTTTTTGGTATACGTTTATGTTTCTACAGCATTATTTTGCTTGTATTTCTTTCTTTCTTTTTTTTTTCCCGAGACGGAGTTTCACCATGTTGGTCAGGCTGGTCTTGAACTCCCGACCTCAGGTGATCCACCTGCCTTGGCCTCCAAAGTGCTTGGATTACAGGTGTGAGCCACTACTCCCGGCCTCTTTTTTTTTTTTTGTGCTCACGGGCCCCACGCCAGGCCTCGATTTACCCAAGCCGGGCACGCCGCTGCTTGTATTTCTTTCTGATTACATTAGTATAGTATATAGTTTAATTGTTCTCCATTTTGGATGTTAATTTTTGGTTTATAGAGTAAATAATAATGTAGTAGACTTAGTCACAAGTCTTAGTCAACACAAATCTGCCTGTTTTCTGTGTATTACAATTGGCCTGAATCGGTACAGGGGCCTTGGTGATAGATTTTAGACCACGTGTTCTCAAAGTGTGGTCCTTGGCCAGTGTCAGCGTCATGTGGTTAGTTGTTAGTAATGCTGGTTCTTGGGCCTCACCAAGAATCAGAAACTGTGGTGATGGGACCCAGGAATTTGTGTTTTAAAATTGACATACATTATATGACATACATTTTAATGACATACATTAAAAGCCCTCCAGGGGATTCTTTTTTTTTTTTCTTTTTTAAAGTAAAAGCAAGTTTATTAGGAAAGTAAAGGAATAAAAGAATGGCTACTCCATAGACAGAGCAGTCCTAAGGGCTGCTGATTACCCATTTTCATGGTTTTTTCTTGATAAGCTGAACAAGGAGTAGATTGTTCATGCCTCCCCTGGTAACTTCCTGATGTTGCTATGACATTTGTAAACTGTCCTGGTGCTGGTGTGAGTGTAGTAGTGAGGAGGACCAGAGGTCACCGCTCATCGCCATCTTGGTTTTGGTGGGTTTTACTGGCTTCTTTACTGCAATTTGTTTTATCAGCAAGGTCTTTGTGACCTGTACCTTGTGCCGACTTCCTATGATATCCTGTGACTTAGAATGCCTTAACTGTCTGCAATGCAGCCTAGTAGTTCTCAGCCTCATTTTACCTAGCTCCTATTTGAGATGGAGTTGCTCTGGTTCACACATCTCTGACATTTCCCCCCTCCCTTTTATAAGAGAACCCTTAATCCTAAAGGTTGCAGAGGGATGAAGATCCATCTTCTGTAACTTCTTCAGGCTGAAAAAGGACAATGATATTCCTATTAGGAGCTCAGTCAGAAATCATTAGTATGGTAAGAGTCATTCATGACTTTTTTTTGAGATGGAGTCTTGCTCTGTTGCCCAGGCTGGAGTGCAGTGGCAGAATATGGGCTCACTGCAACCTCTGCCTCCCAGGTTCAAGTGATTCTTCTGCCTCAGCTTCCTGAGTAGCTCGGATTATAAGTGTATGCTGCCATGCCCGGCTAGTCCCCAGCTAATTTATATATTTTTTTGTAGAGATGGGGTTTTACCATGTTGGCTAGGCTGGTCTTGAACTCCTGACCTGAGGTGATCTGCCCGCCTCAGTCTCCCCACAAGTGTTGGGACTATAGGCACAAGCCACCTCATCTGGTCCCATTCATAACTCTTGAGTTCTGACAAAGAGTGATATCTGGGCCAGACATGCTGGCTCACACCTATAATCCCAGCACTATTAGGTGGGATTATAGGGGCCCACCACGAAAATTAGCTGGGCATGGTGGTGGGCCCCTATAATCCCACCTACTTGGGAGGCTGAGGCAGGAGAATCACTTGCATCCAGAAGGTGGAGGTTGCAGTGAGCTGAGGTTGTGCCACTGTACTCCAGCCTGGGCAACAAGAGCAAAACTGTCTCAAAAAAAAAAAAAAAGTAATGATTTTTCACATAAGCTCTTTTTAAGTGGGCTTTGATGGAAGTCTGTTTCATAAAAAGAACCCCAGATAAGACTTTTTTTTTTTGGAGACATAGTCCCACAGTCCTGCTCTGCTGCCCGGGCTGGAGTCCAGTGGCACGATCTCGTCTCACTGCAACCTTCGCCTCCCAGGTTCAAGCAGTTCTCCTGCCTCAGTCTCCTGAATAGCTGGGATTGCAGGCATTTGCCACCACACCCAGCTAATTTTTTTTGTATATTTAGTAGAGACATGGTTTCACCATGTTGGCCAGGTTTGTCTTGAACTCCTGATCTCAGGTGATCTGCCTGCCTTGGCCTCCCAAAGTGCTGGGATTACAGGTATGAGCTACTGTGCCAGGCAAGACTTTTTTTGTCCCCCCTTTGTTATTTGGAAGGGCAAGACTTTTAAAACCAAGCCTAGCCATGGGTTTGTACCATCAAATATCTATCAGCTGAGTAAATTCCTCTCCTCTTGGCCTCCCAAGATAAATTGGGGCTCCTGGGCCTGTGGGAAAGTGACATATTTTACTATTTTACTTACCACAGGTCAGGAACCCTGTATAGAGACTGGAGACAAGGAGTGAGATGTGTCCCCAAGGGGCTGTTATTGGCTTTACAAGTCAAGTTTGATTCCTTAAAGGAAAGCTTGTCATTCCAGTTAAAGCCTTCGTAAAATAAGCAGTTTTTTCAATTGTGTCCTGTTTCAAAAGAAAACAGATTCTTTGCCAGGCACAGTGGCTCACACCTGTAATCCCAGCACTTTGGGAGGCCAAGGTGGGTGTATCACCTGAGGTCAGGGGTTTGAGATCAGCTTGTCAACATGGTAAAATCCCGTCTCTACTAAGAATACAAACAATTAGCTAAGCATGGTGGTGCATACCTGTATCCTAGCTACTCAGGAGGCTGAGGTAGGAGAATTGCTTGAACCTGGGAGGTGGAGTTTGCAGTAAGCCAAGAGTGTACCACTGTACTCTAGTCTTGAGGAAGACTCGGTCTCAAAAAACAAACAAAACCAGATTCTTATTGCACTTAATGCAAGTAACTATATTGTCATAAATTTTTTAAAAAATTATTTTATTTTTTTTTTGAGACGGAGTTTTGCCCTTGTTACCCAGGCTAGAGTGCAATGGCGCAATCTCGGCTCACCGCAACCTCCGCCTCCTGGGTTCAGGCTATTCTTCTGCCTCAGCCTCCTGAGTAGCTGGGATTACAGGCACACGCCACTATGCCCAGCTAATTTTTTGTATTTTTAGTAGAGACGGGGTTTCACCATGTTTACCAGGATGGTCTCCATCTCTTGACCTCGTGATCCACTCGCTTCGGCCTCCCAAAGTGCTGGGATTACAGGTGTGAGCCACCGCGCCCAGCCCCTATTGTCATAAATAAAGAATACTTACAAATAGTTTCCAAATTCTGGAGAAATCAGGTAGAGGAAACAAATGTGCTTCAAATTTTTTGTTTATAGGAGTATACTTCACCCAGGTTTTTTTTTTTTTTGAGAAAGAGGTTTCCTCTTACCACTCAGGTTGGAGTGTGGTGGTGTGATCATGGCTTACTGCAACCTTTGCCTCCTGGATTCAGGCAGTTCTCCAGCCTCAGCCTCTGGAATAGTTGGGCACCCGTCACTATGCCTGGCTAATTTTTGTATTTTATGTAGAAACTGGGTTTCATCATGTTGGCCAGGTTGGTCTCGAACTCCTGATCTCAGGTGATCTGCCTGCCTTGGCCTCCCAAAGTGCTGGGATTATAATCAGGAGCCATTGTGCCCACCTACTCAATTGTTGAAAGCTGGAAATAGCTCAAAAGAAAAGTTTTCTTGGTTCCCAAGTCGGCCAATCAGTACTGCAGTCTATTTCCTTTGTGTCAGGGGGTTTCTTCAGTATCATCCCTTCCTTGGTTCACTAGAAGGACGTTACCAGACCCCACCACTTACCTAAACTTAGCCTTTGGGTCAGGGATTTCCACACTATAGTGCCTTCAGTGGTCACCAGAAAGTTGTTACAGGAAAAGGGTCTCAATCCAGACTCCAAGAGAGGGTTCTTGGATCTCACGCAAGAAATAATTCAGGGCAATTCTGTAAACTGAAAACAAGTTTATTAGAAAAGTAAAGGAGTAAAAGAATGGCTACTCCATAGACAGAGCAGCCCCTCCAGGGGATTCTGATGTGTAATAAGGTTTGATGAAAGCCGTTGAACAAGATACATGTGGACTCTGCCTTCATGGAGGCGGTGGAAGTCTTTAACATATACTTAATATGGTAAGGGTTTTTTCTTTCCTGGTATTGGGACTCTGTCTGAAAAAAAAAAAAAAAAAAAAAAATAACTTGACCTCCCAAAGTGCTGGGATTACAGGCACGAGCCACTGTACCCAGCCCCATTCCACTCTCTAGCTCCATGAGTTCAATTGTTTTTATTTTTTAGCTCCTACAAATAGGAGATCATGTGAGGTTTGTCTCTGTGCTTGGCTTATTTCGCTTAACATAATAACCTCCATTTCCATCCATGTTGTTGCAAATGATAGGATCTCATTCTTTTTAAAGGCTGGATAGTACTTTATTGTGTATGTGTTTATTTATCCATTCATCTGTCGATGGACACTTAGGCTGATTCCAAGCCTTGGCTATTGTGAATAGTGCTGCAGTAAACATGGGAGTGCAGATGTCTCTTTACTGGTTCCTTTCTTTTGGGTATAACTAGCAGTGGGATTGCTGGAACATATAGCAGTTCTATTTTTAGTTTTTTGAGAAATCTCCAAACTGTCCTCCATGGTAGTTGTACTAATTTACATTCTCACTAATGAAGTGTGAGGGTTCCCTTTTTTCCAGAATTTGTTATAGCTTGTCTTTTGGATAAAAGCCCTTTTAACTGGCTTGATGTACTATCTCATTGTAGTTTTGATCTGTATTTCTCTCATGATCAGTGATGTTTAGCACTCTTTCATTTACCTGCCTCCCATTTGTATGTCTTCTGTACAAGAGAAATGTCTGTTCAGCTCTTTTGCCCATTTCTTTCTTTTTTTTTTTCCTGAGATGGAGTTTAACTCAGTTGCCCAGGCTGGAGTGCAGATCTCAGCTCACTGCAACCTCCTCCTCCTCCTGGGTTCAAGCAATTCTTCTGCCTCAGCCTCCCCAGTAGCTGGGATTACAGGTACCCACCACCACACCTGGCTAATTTTTTGTGTTTTTAGTAGAGACAGGATTTCACCAAGTTGGCCAGGCAGATCTTGAACTCCTGACCTTGGGTGATCCATCGGCCTCAGCCTTTCAAAGTGCTGAACCACTGAACCCAGCCTTTTGCCCATTTCTTAATTGGATTATTAAATGTTTTACCTATTGAATTGTTTGAGCTCTTTATTATAGTCTGGTTATTAATCCCTTATCAGATGAGTAGCTTGCAAAAATTTTCTCCCATTCTGTGAGTTGTCTCTTCACTTCGTTGGTTATTTCTTTTGCTGTGCAGAACCTTTGTGATGGATTGTTTATTTCTTTATTTATGTATTTGAGCTGGAGTCTCGCTTTGTCATCCAGGCTGGAGTGTAGTGGTTCAATCTCAGCTCACTCAACCTCCACCTCCTAGGTTCAAGTGATTCTCTTTCCTCAGGCTCCCGAGTAGCTGGGACTACAGGTGCATGCCACAATGCCTGACTAATTTTAGTATTTTTAGTAGAGATGAGGTTTCACTGTATTAGGATGGTCTGGATATCCTGACCTCATGATCCGCCCACCTTGGCCTCCCAAAGTTCTGGGATTACAGGTATGAGCCACTGCACCCAGCCAGATTAATTACTTTTAATTCTTGTGATGTCAGTGAAGTCGGTCCTGATTATGATTGGCTTTTCATGTGGCTTGAGTCCATAGAGAATAAGAAACAAAGTAGGGTGACCAGAGTAATCAGGGTTATGTGACAGCTTTATTTATCACTGTAAATTTTTTTTTTTTTTGAGATGGAGTTTCGCTCTTGTTACCCAGGCGGGAGTGCAATGGTGTGATCTCGGCTCACTGCAACCTCCGCCTCCTGGGTTTAGGCAATTTTCCTGCCTCAGCCTCCTGAGTAGCTGGGACTATAGGCGTGCACCACCATGCCCAGCTAATTTTTTGTATTTTTAGTAGAGATGGGCTTTCACCATGTTGACCAGGATGGTCTCAATCTCTTGACCTCGTGATCTACCCTCCTCGGCCTCCCAAAGTGCTGGGATTACAGGCGTGAGCCACTGCGCCCGGCTTATCACTGTAAATTAATAAACCTGTCCGCTAGTGTCTGGTTCAGTCTTTGGTGCATTTGGAATTTCCAAATTGAGGCTATCCGTGTTTGTTCACTGTGGATGTAGAAAGCAAAAATCTGGATTACACTGGATTACACCACATTCCTGGGATCTGACTGGTGAGGTAGCTAGGCCTGCCCTTATACCACCTCTGTCTACTTTTTTTTTTTTTTTTTGAGACGGAGGTTCGCTCTTGTTACCCAGGCTGGAGTGCAATGGCGCAATCTCGGCTCACCGCAACCTCTGCCTCCTGGGTTCAGGCAATTCTCCTGCCTCAGCCTCCCGAGTAGCTGGATTACAGGCACGCGCCACCGTGCCCAGCTAATTTTTTGTATTTTTAGTAGAGACGGGGTTTCACCATGTTGACTAGGATGGTCTCGATCTCTTGATCTCATGATCCACCTGCCTCGGCCTCCCAAAGTGCTGGGATTACAGACGCGAGCCGCTGCGCCCGGCCTACTTTCTTATTCATACTGGGTTTTTGTTTTTGAGACAGAGTCTTGCTCTGTTGCCCATGCTGGAGTGCAATGCATGATCAATCTTGGCTCACTGCAACCTCCGCCTCCTGGGTTCAAGCAATTCTTCTGCCTCAGCCTCCTGAGTAGCTGGAATTACAGGTGCCTGGCACCACGCCTGGCCATTTTTCTTCTGTATATTTAGTAGAGACAGTGTTTCACCATATTGACCAGGCTGGACTTGAACTCTTGACCTGGTGATCCACCCACCTCATCCTCCCAAAGTGCTAGGATTACAGGTGTGAGCCACCGCACCTGGCCCCCCTTTTTTTTCCTGTTTTTTTGGGACAGAGTCTCGCTCTGTTGCTCAGGCTGGAGTGCAGTGGCACTATCTCAGCTCACTGCAACCTCTGCCCCTCAGGTTCAAGTGATTCTTCTGCCTCTGCCTCCTGAGTAGTTGAGACTACAGGTGCCCACCACCATGCCCAGCTATTTTTTGTATTTTTGGTAGAGATGGGATTTCACCCTATTGGCCAGGCTGGCCTTGAGCTCCTGACCTTGTGATCTGCCCACCTTGACCTCCCAAAGTGCTTGCTCCTTCTGCCTCCTTTAGCTTGAAAAATGACTTGTGCTTTGCAGTGTGAGAGAATGGCCTTATTTTGTGCATTTTTCTTTGTAGGATCCATTAACTCAGCCCATTATGATAGTTTCTATGATGATCACATTAATTGTACTTTTTTTTTTTTTTTTTTTGAGTTGGAGTTTCACTCTTGTTGCCCAGGCTGGAGTGTAATGGTGTGATCTCTGCTCATTGTAACCTCTGCATCCTGGGTTCCAGCAATTCTCCCACCTCAGCCACCTCAGTAGCTGGGATTACAGGCACCCACCACCACTCTGGGCTAATTTTTCTTTTTTTTTTTTAGACTGAGTGCCTCACTCTCTAGCCCATGCTAGAGTGCAGTGGTGTGATCTTGGCTCACTGCAAGCTCCTCATTCTGGGTTCAGACAATTCTCCTGCCTCATACTCTTGGGTAGCTGGGATTACAGGCATGCGCCACCATGCCTGGCTAATGTGTGATATTTTAACCTATGTTTATTTTAAACCCAAAGAACTTATATTATTTATATTGTCTGTATTAATTTAAATTTACCCATATATTTACTCTTTTCTTGCTTTTTATCTCCCCCCAGATCCCCCTTCCATATCTTTAGGCTTCTATCTGGGATCATTTTCTTTCTCCTTAAAGGCTACCTTTATTGGGTTTTTCTTTGCTGAAATTGAAGGAAAAAATTATTTTTCCTTCTTTTTTTTTGAAATTTTTATTGTGGCTACATATATAACATAAAGTTTGCCATTTTAACCACTTGTTAATTTAAAATTTTAAATTGTGGTAAAATACACATAATGTAAAATTTACCATCTGAACCAGTTTTGAATGTACAGCTTGGTGGTAACTACCCTGGGAATCTCATATAGGTGGAATACAGTGTTTGTCCTTTTGTGGCGGCTTATTTCTCTTAGTGTAATGTCTTTAAGGGTCAATCTTGTTCAGTATGCTCAATAAATTTGAGCCATTTTTGTTTTCTGCAGTGGTGGTTTTTGTTGGCTTTTTCACCCAGACATGCTATTATGTTTGCTGATTGAAATCCTGAGTGTAGGGCTAACTTGTCAATTCCCAAAGACGTCTCGTCCTCCTCAAGTGGTGTCTGTGTGATATGGTTTCCATTGTTAATTGGTATTTGCTTGCAGAAAAATGTATCATCATCTGTTACTCATTTGGTTTTTCTTGTTCTGCTAGGACCCTGGTTAGGAGTAGAATGGGACAATCCTGAGAGAGGAAAGCATGATGGGAGCCACGAAGGGACTGTGTATTTTAAATGCAGGTAACTTTTCAATATGAATCAGCATGGCCATTTAGTCAAGATTATATCTAATAGTTGAATAAGGAGGGATGGAGAGGAAGAAACGGTTGGCTCGTGAAGTAGTTATATTGTAGAATTTGTTGTATTCTAAAAAGGCAGTTATTTTATTTGTGGTATAAGTGCTGTTTGTAGAATTTTTCCCTTTTTAAAAAAAATTCTGATGACCTTGTGGGTGGCATGGCTTTCTTTATCCTTTATTGTTTTTTGACAGTCGTCTAAACTGGATGAAGGTAAAGCTTTCTAGCTCATTACCAATTTACAATCCAGTAAGCGAATAATAGAAAAGAGAAATAGCTTAGATATCCAGTAAGAAGAATTGATTACACAAAATATAGCGCATCTGAATAGTGGAACGCTAAGCCACTCTAAAAAAAATTCATCTCATAGGAAGAGTTACACGTTACATTGCATTTCTTTTTTTTTTTGAGACGGAGTTTTACTCTTGTTACCCAGACTGGAGTGCAATGGCACAATCTCCACTCACCGAGACCTCCGCCTCCTGGGTTCAAGCAATTCTGCCTCAGCCTCCCGAGTAGCTGGGACTACAGTCGCGCACCACCATGCCCAGCTAATTTTTTGTATTTTTAGTAGAGATGGGGTTTCACCTTGTTGACCAGGATGGTCTTGATCTCTTGACCTCATGATCTACCCGCCTCGGCCTCCCAAAGTGCTGGGATTATAGGCGTGAGCCACCGCACCCGGCCAATTTTGCAGTTTTAGTAGAGACGGGGTTTCTCCATGTTGGTCAGGCTGGTCTCAAACTCCTGACCTCAGGTGATCCGCCCACTTCAGCCTCCCAAAGTGCTGGGATTTCAGGTGTGAGCACTGCATTTCTATTAATATTTTTGGTCACCTAATATCAGAAAAACTGTATGAAGCTCTGAAAAGGGTTCTGGGGAGCCTTCAGGCAGAGCCTATCTTCTAAATTTTTGTTGTTATTGATTTTTATTAGTTTTCAAGTTCTCAAAAGGATCTTTCTCTAGTAAGCTGTTTTTTCTTAAGTGTGGTACAGTGAAGACAATATTGCCCTAGAAATCAGGAGACCTCTAATTTGTTTTTAACAATCTTGTTTGTTTGTTTGGTTTATTTATTTATTTATTTTTGAGATAGGATCTCACTCTGTCGCTCAGACTGGAATGCAGTGGCATGATCATGGCTCACTGTCACCCTGAACTCCTGGGCTAAAGTGATCTTCCTGCCTCAGCCTCCTGAGTAGCTGTGACCACGGCATGCACCAGCACATCCAGCTAATAAAAAAAATAAATTTATAGAGATGAAATTTCAGTATGTTGCCCAGGCTGGTCTTGAGTGATTTCCCTACCTTGGCTTCTCAAAGTGCTGGGATTACAGGTGTGAGCCACTGCACCAGTCCTGCTTTTAATAGTCTTTATTATGATCCTCGAACAAGACAAATTTACTAACCTTTAAAATGAGGGTCACAATTAGATAACCACATAGCATATCTCCTGGTCCACTATTCCATAATTTTAGAAAGTCAGGATGTTCTTAAAAGGCCAGCTATAGCCAGGTGCGGTGGCTTGTAATTTCAGCATTTTGGGAGGCTGAGGCGGGCTGGATCACCTGAGGTCAGGAGTTCGAGACCAGCCTGGCCAACATGGCGAAACCCTGTCTCTACCAAAAATATAAAAATTAGCCAGGTGTGGTGGCAGGTGCCTGTAATCCCGGTTGGGAGGCTGAGGCAGGAGAATCACTTGAACCTGGGAGGTGGAGGTTGCAGTGAGCCGAGATCATGCCACTGCACTCCAGCCTGTGTAAAAAAAGGCCAGCTATGCTTGCAGAATTGCCAGCTCTGAATCTGTCAAGAGTTAGTTGAGGATTATAGGAGCAGGTTATGAGTTTAGGGAGAAATATTTTAGCCAGGTCCACAGATTCTCTAGGTACCTGGACCATGATCACCTCGAAAACCGTCCAGTGAAAGGACTTTTGTTTTGGAGACAGAGTCTCACTCTGTTGCCCAGGCTGGAGTGCAGTGGCACGATGTCGGCTTACTGCAACCTCTACCTCCCTGGTTTAAGCAATTCCCTTGCCTCAGCCTCCCGAGCAGTGGGAATTACAGGTACACTCCACCATGTCTGGCTAATTTTTTTGTATTTTCAGTAGAGATGAGGTTTCACCATGTGGGCCAGACCGGTCTCGAACTCCTGATCTCAGGCAATCCGCCCATCTCGGTCTCCCAAAGTGCTGGGATTACAGGCCCAGCAAAAGGACTTTTTATTTGGAACTTACCCCAGCCTACTTCCTTCTTCTAAAAGCTTTCCCAGATTGTCCATAATTGTATGGCCCTTATGGTCCCTGGATACAGTGATATTTTCAAAGTCTTGGTTACTCTGAGCATAAAAATCAAGAATTTTCTTCAAGTCCTGGTTGATGCAGAATTTGTCCTGAAATGCTGATGGGAGGCCTTGGTTCAGGGACATTGACTTAGTGTAGTCATGCATTGCTTAATGAAGGGGATGCATCTGAGAAATGCCTGTTAGGTGGTTTCGTCTTTGTGTGAACATCATAGCCTACTACATGCGTAGGCTACTGTATGGCATAGCCTATTGCTCTGAGGCTATGAACCTGTACATCATGTTACTGTGCTGAATACTGCAGGCAATTGTAACACAGTGGTAAATATTTAAGCCTAGAAAAGGTACAGTAAAAATACAGTATAAAAGATTAAAAGAATTAATCAGCATGGGATGGTACATGTCAGTTAGTACCAGCTAACTGAGGTACTTGGGAGGCTGAGTCATTAGGATTGCTTACGCCTGGGAGTTTCAAGACCAGCTTAGGCAACACAATGAGATCTCATCTTTAAAAAAAAGATAGGGCTGGGCGCGGTGGCTCAAGCCTGTAATCCCAGCACTTTGGGAGGCTGAGGCAGGTGGATCACGAGGTCAAGAGATCGAGACCATCCTGGTCAACATGGTGAAACCCCGTCTCTACTAAAAATACAAAAAATTAGCTGGGCATGGTGGCGCATGCCTGTAAATCCCAGCTACTCAGGAGGCTGAGGCAGGAGAATTGCCTGAACCCAGGAGGCGGAGGTGGCGGTGAGCCGAGATAGCGCCATTGCACTCCAGCCTGGGTAACGAGAGCAAAACTCCGTCTCAAAAAAAAAAGATAGAAAATGGTACACCTGTATAGAGCCCTTAGTGTGAATGGACCTTGCAGGACTGGAAGTTGCTCTGGATGACTGTGTGAGCGGTGAGTGAATGTGAAGGCTAGGACACTCTTGTACCCTACTATGTCCTTAGGCTACACTAAACTTAAAAAGAAGTTTTTCTTTCCTTCCTTCCTTTCCTTTTTCTTTTTCTTTTTCTCCTTTTTTTTTTTTGAGACAGTTTCACTCTTGTTGCCCAGGCTGGAGTGCAATGGCGCAATCTCTCGGCTCACTGCAACCTCCGACTCCCAGGTTTAAGCAATTCTCGCCTCAGTCTCCCAGGTAGCTGGGTTACAGGCCAGCGCCACCATGTCCGGCTAATTTTTGCATTTTTAGTAGAGACGGGGTTTCTTCATGTTGGTCACGCCAGTCTTGAACTCCTCGACCTCAGGTGATCCACTCGCCTTGGCCTCCCAAAGTGCTGGAATTACAGGCGTGAGTCACTGTGCCTGGCTGGTTTTTCTTCCTTTAATAACAAATTAACCTTAGTTTCCTGTACTTTTTTATTTTATAAACTTAAATTTTTCTTTTTTGAGACGGAGTCTTGCTCTGTTGCCCAGGCTGGAGTGCAGTGGCTTGAGCTTGGCTCCCTGCAGCTGCCCGGGTTCCAATGATTGTCCTGCCTCAGCCTCCAGAGTAGCTGGGATTACATGTGTGCGCCACCAATACCCAGCTCATTTTTGTGTTTTTAGTAGAGATGTGGTTTCACCATGTTGGCTAGGCTGGTTACAAATTCCTGACCTTGTGATCCACCTGCTTCAGCCTCCCAAAGTGCTGGGATTACAGGCGTGAGCCACTGTGCTTTGCTTTTTTTCTTTTTTTAAACAGAGTCTTGCTCTGTTGCCCAGGCTGGAGTTCAGTAGTTTTATCTTGGCTGGCTGATCTCAGCCTCCACCTTCTGTGTTCAAGGGATTCTTGTCCCTCAGTCTCCTGAGTAGCTGGGATTGTAGGTGTGTGCCTCCACACCCAGCTAAGTTTTGTATTTTTAGTAGAGACAAGGTTTCTCCGTGTTGGGCAGGCTGGTCTTGAACTCCTGAGCTCAAGTGATCCACCCACCTTGGCCTCCCAAAGTGTTGGCATTACAGGTGTGAGCCACCACACCCAGCCAACTTTTAAATTTTTAAAACTTTTTCACTCAATTGAAGTAACCTAAAACATCAGCATTTCTTCAAACATGAACACTTTGTAGAGCTGTACACAAATATTTTCTTCATTTCTTTATTTTATAAGCGATTTTCTATTTTTAAAGTAATATATTTTTTTACCTTTTAAATTTTTTTGTTAAAAACAAAGACACCAACACAGACATTAACCTAGGCCTGCAGTCCAGACCACAGTATCAGTGTCTTCCCACTTCCACATCTTGTCCCACTGCAAGATCTTCAGGGGCTATATAACATGCATAAAGCTGTCATTGCTTTTTTTGTTTTGTTTGTTTGTTTTGAGATGGAGTCTTACTCTGTCACTCAGGCTGGAGTGCAGTGGTGCAATCTTGGCTCACTGCAACCTCCACCTCCCAGGTTCAAGCAGTTCTCCTGTCTCAGCCTCCTGAGTAGGTGAGACTCTAATTTTTGTATTTTTAGTAGAGACAGGGTTTCATCATTTTGGCCAGGCTGATCTTGAACTCCTGACCTCAGGTGATCTGGCCCCAAATTCTGGGATTACAATGTGAGAGCCACTGTGCCTGGCCTGAGCTACCTCCCCCGGCTATCACCTCTCACAATAACAATGCCTTCTTCCAGAAAACCTCCTGAGGGACCCGCCTGAGGCTGGGTTACAATTAACTTTTTTT